AGCAGGGACTCAGTGGACCTGAGCCAGGTACACAAGGGCAGGAGGAAGGCAGCCGCAGGCCCTTCACCATCCCTCAGGTGCTGAGAACCAAAGTGCACCATCCCTCAGGTGCTGAGAACCAAAGTGCACCATCCCTCAGGTGCTGAGAACCAAAGTGCACCATCCCTCACGTGCTGAGAACCAAAGTGCACCATCCCTCAGGTGCTGAGAACCAAAGAGGAGGATGAGGCCCCCAAGCCCGACCATCTTGTGCAGGACCCTGCAGTACTGCAGGAAAAAGCAGAAGCCAGGTGCATGGCCTTCCTGGTCAGGAAGGGGTACCAGCATGACAGCTCAACGGTAGTGGCTGGCAGCCCCCGGGGCCACGGGCAGAGCTGAGAGACAACACAGGAGCGCAGGAAGAAGGAAGCCAGCAAGCCACATGAGCCAACCACAACCAGAGAGCCATGGCTGACCGCAAAAGAAGCTAAGGCAGGATTCCAACCTGAGGCTGCTGTGCCAGGGCCAGCCGGACCTGCCAGGCTGAGGTACCATAGCCTGGGGCTTCCTCGCCAGTTGGCCCCCTGCCAGGCCCCAGGTTCAAGTCCACCCCTCGACAGCCTCAGCTTCGCAGCCCCTGAGAAGGCCGCCTCGTTGTCTGCCAGCCGGCCATGAGCGCCTTCCTGCAGAACGCACAGTGCCTTTATCCACAGCGGAGGAACCGTGCGGCCAGTGCGCAAGTGCAAGGGACGGGGTTGGAGCCCCAAGGCCAGTCCCCAAACCTCGTGCAGCCGGACACCACGTCTCTTTCTCCCTGGACGGCAGGAAACCTGTGTATTCAAAAACAAAAACAAAAAACACACAAAAGCCCTGCAAATAAAGTTTTTGACCCTTTCAAAAAAAAAAAATCAAGATTATTGTAACCCCCCAAAATCAATTGGAGGAGGTTTTGCTGCTTTGGTATTTCTGGAACGTTAAGAAAACAAGTCTTAAGATGTAAACATAGATAATGCTTAAATAAAAATCACCACAGCAGGATGAGACGGCGCTGTTATTGCCTGAGCGAGCAGCAGCCCTCTACTGTTGTGTTTCTGCACAATTCGTCTCGTGTGATGAGCTTACTTTCAACCCTGTCATAAGAAACTACAACATTTGGCGCCCGAACAGGGACCTGAAGGTAAGTATCGAGGTCACGCGAGACCGGAGGGGATTTTTGTACGCTAAAGAGAAAAGCGAAACCTCCGGGAAGAATAGAGTCATGGGGAATTCTCCCTCAGTGGAATGCCACTACGTTAGACTCCTGAAACAGTTATTACGGAGTTCTGGAGTGAAAGTGAAACAAGAATCTTTTGATGAATTGTTTGCGGAGATCCGTAAACACTGTTACTGCTTTCAACCTACTGGTCATAACCAGTTGAATTTAAAAGTTTGGAAACAGGTTATGCGAGCATTAAGAAGAGCTCATCAGTATGGAGACCCTATATCTGTCCGTGTCTGGTCTCTTTGTAATTTAATTTCCCGTGCCCTGGAACCATTACAATCTGAGACTGAAAGTGAACGTGGGGCGCGCTCTCAGCGTCCGAATTCTGCTCCCGATCGCTCTGCTACTTTTCGTACTCTGTTCCGTGAATCTCCTATAGAAGACCTTCCTCCGCCTCCTCCTCTTATGTCTGAGCCAGGAGAGGATTTTTCAGGTTCCAGTGATGAAGGGGCTTTTTCTTTCTTTTTTTTTTTTTTGAAGATGTTGGGGGTAGGAGTTTATTAATTAATTTATTTATTTTTGCTGTGTTGGGTCTTCGTTTCTGTGCGAGGGCTTTCTCTAGTTGTGGCAAGCGGGGGCCACTCTTCATCGCGGTGCGCGGGCCTCTCACTATCGCGGCCTCTCTTGTTGCGGAGCACAGGCTCCAGACGCGCAGGCTCAGTAATTGTGGCTCATGGGCCCAGCTGCTCCGCGGCATGTGGGATCTTCCCAGACCAGGCCTCGAACCCGCGTCCCCTGCATTAGCAGGCAGATTCTCAACCACTGCGCCACCAGGGAAGCCCTGAAGGGGCTTTTTCTGATGATGATAAAGATCGGGAGCAAGTTAGCAAACAAAATGAGATGCCACCTTCTCAACAGAATGAGATTTCTGATATACTTACAAAGTTGAAAATTTTGATGGTTAAATTGGAAGAAAATAAAAACAATGCTACCACCCCTTCATATCAGGAGCCATGTCCTACTATTCCTTCGGATCCTCCTTTAGAATTAGCAGCGTATCCTGCTGGAGCCTCTCGTCAGTTTCGATTTCCTCTAAAACCTGAATTTAATAAACTTTTATTGGAAGAAGAGATGAATAAGGAAGAAAAGCAATATTCTGAAGCATTTTTTGCTTTCCCTATAGTTAGACAAGCTATGCCTGCTAATAATCAATTTCCAAATGGATATATGAACGTCGAGTATAACCCTCATGATTTAAAAAAATTTTAAATGCTAAAAGAAGCCATTAATGCATATGGGATGCATTCTAATTATGTTCAAGGACTTTTGTCTGGGTATGCTTCCGAAAACATATTAATTCCTCCTCCAGGGCCACTTTTAGAAGAATTAATAGGAGCAGGCGCATTTAGTAATCTACAAGCTCAAGCTCAATTTGACGATTTACGAATCATTCAAATACGTATGTGTTGTTTGCGAGCACAGTTACGAGTGGAACCCCCTGGAAGAACAGCACAATCTTTTACTAAGTTAATGCAAGGGCCTGGTGAGCCTTACACTGATTTCTTGTCTAGATTGCGTGCAGCCATTCAAAGAGCTGTAGCACAAACAGAAGTGCAAGATTTATTATTACAATCCTTGGCCTTTGAGAATGCAAATCCTGAATGCCAGATGGCATTGCGCCCTTTACGAGCTGTAAATGCTCCACTTGAGGAGTATATAAAAGCTTGCCAGGATATTGGATCTCCTACTTACCAGCCAATGAAGTAAATTGTACTAACCATACTTACTGGACTTATATTCCTAACCCTCCTCTTAAATTGGGGGTTACCTGGTGGGATGCCCCAATTTTTGTATATGTAAATGAGTCTGGATGGTTGCCTGGTCCTTTTGATGATAGAGGCCCTTTGAAGCCAGAAGAAGGAAGGATAATAGAGAATTACACGGTGGGTGTTAGTGGACCTCCTATTTGTATGGGAAAGGGAGATCATTGCCTTAAAATGAATTATCAGGCATGGTTAAGTGTTGTCAAAAATGAAAGCAGATATCATGGGTTATATCTTTTGAGTGCTTATAGTTTTGAAAATTCTAATTCCACCCTTGATGAGAATGTTTCCGTACCCTACTTGCCTCCATGTCATGTGCCTCTTGTAGATCGATTATCGGATTGGGTCCATTGGACTCGATGCCGAGGAGAAATGGCTCGGGTTCTTGTTAACACTTCTTGGGGAAGCATCATTGATTGGAGCCCTTTTGGTCCCGCCCGAGGAAAAAGGGGTCTGAAGAATTTACACTGGCATAGAGAGGATAACACTATTTATAGCAATACTATTAATGATACCATAGTATGGCATGCTGGACGGTTTTCTCCTCCTGGTCCTCATTTAAATGGATATCCTATCCAAAAGGATTTGTGGGAGCTTATGGCAGCTTTGGAAAAGATTAATGCTTGGGTAGGACATATGGCTAACCAATCTGGAAATTATAGTTTGACTTTTCATAAAAATGTTACTCGGTATACTCGTAGTTGTGTAAAATTACCTTATATATTGTTGAAGGGACCAGCTGAATGGAATGAGACTCTAGGTATTATAATGTGTAAAAATTGCTCTCTGTATACCTGCATTAACTCTAGTATATCTTTTAACATATCTACTGAAAGCTTGTATATTTTACGAGCTCGGACAGGTCTTTGGCTTCCTGTTAATCTTGGAAGGGAATGGCAAGAATCTCTCCCTATGGCTGTTTTGCAATATTTAGCTGATGCATTAAAAAGAAGTAAAAGATTTGTAGGAATGTTGATTGCAGCTGGCATGGGTATTATAGCCATAACAGCTACTGCTGCAGTAGCTGGAGTTGCTTTAGAACAATCTATTCAGACCGTTGATTATATAACTGATTGGCATAAAAATTCTGAAATGCTTTGGTCCTCTCAACAACAAATTGATTCGGAAATACAGTCGGAAATAGCAGACTTACATAAAGCTGTGGTTATGTTGGGGGACCAACTTGTAAATTTACAAAGACAAATGAAGCTACGTTGTGACTGGAATCAAAGTGCCTTTTGCGTCACTTTGGTTCCATATAATCAGTCTGCATTCCCCTGGGAAAAAAATTAAAAACATCTATCACATCACAAAAATTTGACAGAAGAAATTGTGAACTTACAAGGGGAAATTCAACAAACTTTTCAAAAGAGATTACGACTTAATTCGCAAGAAGTATGGACTGGAATTATTCAAGGCCTTAATAATTGAAATCCTATGTCTAAATTACATGCTTTATTTGGTTCTACCGCGGGATTGTTAATGATCATTATAATAATAATCATATGTTTAATTGTAGTCCGACGACGATTGAAAGCCACCCGCCATGCAACATCGCAACAAGCTGCCGTGTTCTCCTTGATGCTGCACAAGCTGCAAAACAAAAAGGGGGAAATGTAGAGAAATAACTGAGGACATGGAAGGAGACGTGACCCATGAGCCCCCCATCCCCACCCCCGGCAAGCTGGGGGCGTGCGAAAAAGCCAGAACTGCAAGCAGTCCTGGCTGCTTTGGGCACTGATCCATGAAATGTCCTCAGTATAATCAGAATGATGGGAACACAAGGAAATGTCCTTGAGTTGCTTTTGCGCTCAAGGACGAAGCACGGCATGTCTTCAAGAAAGCCCATTGTTGCTTGTATAATCAGTAAAATTGTATAATCAGTAAAATTGCTGCTTTGGTATTTCTGGAATGTTAAGAAAACAAGTCTTAAGATGTAAACATAGATAATGCTTAAATAAAAATCACCACAGCAGGACAAGATGGCGCTGTATTGCCTGAGGGAGCAGCAGCCCTCTACTGTTGTGTTTCTGCACAATTCATCTCATGTGATGAGCTTACTTTCGGCCCTGTCATAAGAAACTACAACAAGGAGGTTTACGTTTTTCCTATTTCTTGAGAAACTTTAGTTCTGATCCTTATAGGGTTGATTGAACTCAGCATAAAACCTCCTGGGCTGGTAACACGATATGGTTGTTTATGTGGACATTTTAACTAATAATTGTATTTCTTTAATGGTTTAGGGTTAATGCTTATGTTCTATTTCTTTTTTTTAAAAATAAATCTATCTATCTATCTATCTATTTATTTATTTATTTATTTTGGCCGCATTGGGTCTTTGTTGCTGCGTGCAGACTTTCCCTAGTTGTGGTGAGTGGCCGCTACTCTTCATTGCGGTGCGCGGGCTTCTCACTGCCGTGGCTTCTCTTGTTGGGGAGCACGGGCTCTAGGCGCGCAGGCTTCAGTAGCTGTGGTGCACAGACTTAGTTGCTCTGCGGCATGTGGGATCTTCCCGGACCAGGGCTCAAACCCATGTCCCCTGCGTTGGCAGGCTAGGATTCTTAACCACTGAGCCACCAGGGAAGTCCCTGTTCTATTTCTTTTGGTATCATTGCTATTTTTTTTTCTAGAAAGTTGTTCTTTATGCCTAATTTTTCAGATTTATTGGCATAAGTGT